AAGATTTGCTGCAGAGCCCATGGGAGATCTGTGATAGAATTGTATGTGCTGTGTATATTTTATAGAATTAGTTGTTTTAAATATTAAATAAACAACAGGAAATAGGGAAGGGAAAATAAACCTTTTCCTTTTATTTTGTATTCCTAATTTAAATCTCCCTTCCTCAAAGTTGCTATTAGTTCCAACAAAGAGCATATACAAAATATTGGTAGTCTGCATATCAGATTTACAGTCTAAATTAAAAAAAAACATGAAAAATGAACTGTTACTATGAAATGTTCATGTTGTATGTATGATTTACAGATATATGACCGGATCCTTTCCATTTCTTCTCGGGAAGGTGAGACAATTGAATTAGAAAAGCCTGTTATGGCAGAAGGCAATGTAGAAGTTTGGCTCAATTTACTTTTAAAGGAGTCCCAATCCTCTTTGCATCTTGTGATTCGACAAGCAGCTGCAAATATTCAAGAAGCAGATTTCCAATTAATTGAGTTTCTTAATACCTTCCCTGCCCAGGTGAATTTATCTCCTTCCTTCTTCTCAGTAGGGAGGGTGTGATCTATATTCCCAAGGTTGGGATTGTTACAAATGTTAATACAGACAGAAATACCTTTACTATGAATTATTTCTAATAAATACTACAGTTGGCATTTAGAAAATCTTATTAAATTTAGTAGAGCTTCAGAATGGGTAGATATGTAATTTGCTAATGTGATTCATCTTTAGCTCTTAACTTGGGTTTGGAGTTCTTATGAAATAGCATTAGTTCCCTGTCTTGAAAAATGTGGGGTGCACTTTTAGAATTTCCAATGTATCTAAAAGATCCCTATATTAAATAATGTATAAGCCTTCCACCACATTTTTTTTTTTAAATTTGATTTATATGCCACCCTTCTCCAGAGACTCAGGGCGGCTTACAATGCGTTAAGCAATAGCCTTCATACTTTTGTATATTTATACAAAGTCAGCTTATTGCCCCCACAAATTGGGTCCTCAATTTACCTACCTTAGAAAGGATGGTAGACTGAGTCAACCTTGAGCCTGGTGAGATTCGAACTTATAGTAATTGCAGACAGTTGGTGTTAATCACAATGCTATCAGTCTGCTGAGCCACCAGGCTCAGCAGACTGATGATATCGATGATATTGACTGATGATATCGATAGTTTGCTTGTAATAATGTCAGCCTTCAAAAAACAAAGAAAAATAAATAAAAACGGAAATTAAGACCTGGGGAAACTAATGAAGAACAGAGGTAGTTCTGTTTCTTCCACATGATGAAAATATGTTTTTTGTTGTTGAAGAGGGAGACCGTATGCACGGCAGAGAAAAGGGCAATCCTTGGGGTGCAAGCTAGTTTGAGGAGGAGAGTATTTGGTAAGGAGGATCTTCTGCACCCCGTACCTGTTTCCCTCATCATGACTTGTAGCAACTGAAAGCAGATTTTGGGGTACTTCTAAATCTGGAGGAAGAAAGAGGATAGTGGGTGTTCTCCCTGAGATAGTTCGTTTGCTTTGCTCTTTGTTGCCTACCTCTGCTGCTTCTGAGGAAATACTATTTGATTCCCAGTGCAGGTGGTCCATGAGCTGTCCTCATAATGAAGCATTGGTGCAAAACCCTGCATCATTTTATAATCCACAATTCCTTTGATTAGATCAATTAAGCCTTGTGTAAATATCGGAGATACAGACACCTCTCTTCTGATACATAAAATGGGCAGATTAGGAGTTTGAGATGGGAGAAGATTATTCGACCTAGTTTCAGTTTTCACGAGTGTATAAAAACCGCATAGATAAAATTAATTTTAAAAAGTACATCGATAAAATTAATTTTTAAAAGTGTAATGATTCAGTTATTGGTTAGCTGAATAAAAAAGGATTTGGGAAGGTTAACAGTTAACCCTCTAAAAATTAATGTAAATTATTTTTTAAGGTTGGCTTGCTGGGTATTCAAATGATCTGGACACGAGAAGCGGAAGAAGCTTTGACCAATGCAAAATATGACAAAAAAGTGATGCAGAAAACAAATCAGTTCTTCTTAGAACTCTTGAATACCCTGATAGACATGACTACCAAAGATCTGAGTTCTGTGGAACGCATTAAATATGAGACACTGATCACAATTCATGTGCACCAAAGAGACATATTTGATGATCTGGTAAAAATGAACCTTATTTAAATAACTGCTAGTGAAAGGCTCAGTTCTTCTGAATAAAATGTGTCTGTGATGTATAAATGTAATCAATGTAGTCAGTCATTTTGGACCAAATGTTACTGAGTTTATTAATGTTACAAAGCTTCTTTGACATTATAATCTAGTAGCCGCCTTGTTAGGTTTGACGACATCTACTAATAGAATCCTATTATTATGTAAATTATTATTTACAACTATTATTGTAAATAATAGTTTTAGGGATTTCCCTATGCAGTGAGCCCAGATTACTCTTCTTTTGATCTACTCAGAGCTCATAGAAAAGGAAACACAATTTTGTGGCTAAGGGTTACTTCATAGATGGACCTCTAAAGGAAAGTGACTGGGACTAGAGGAAGATACTGGTTCCTGTCTATTTTTTAAGTTAATTCACCATTACCTTTCTAAATCCAGTCATGTTACATTTGCTCTTAATCATAAAGTAATATCCATTACTCAAATTTAATGCATTATAAATCAAGGTAATTACTTGATTATTCAGTTTTTTCAAGGCAGAAGAAAAAGAACAATAGTCAAATCCCATTTGAGGGTAGGGTCAGATATAGAGCTTGTACCATGTATTTACTGTATGTGCTGGGATTGTTTTATCAGTTTTGTGTACTCCCATTGCATTCTGTGGTTACCACAAGGATGACCTAACTTTGAATTAGAAAATAGCTGTTTCCAAGTAATAAATAGAAGGCATGTCTGTACGGTTAATGCTTACCCTGATATTGAACTATGATAGCGCAATCCTTTGTTTCTAGTGCCGCATGCATATCAAGAGCCCTACAGATTTTGAGTGGCTGAAACAATGCAGATTTTATTTCAAAGACGATGCAGATAAAATGATGGTGCATATCACAGATGTGGCCTTCATATATCAAAATGAATTTCTGGGCTGTACAGACCGTCTTGTCATCACACCTCTTACAGACAGGTGAGGCACGTATGAATATATTTATAGGTTGAAAAGAAAAGATACACTGACACTATGCAGTGTCATTTTCCAGTATTGGTTATGGAGAATGTCTCATGAATTTATAATGAAGGTTCAGTGGGAGATAAAGGAGCCTCAATTGACTCTGGACTTGTCAGGATTAGGAAATAGGCTCTACAAGAAATCTAAAATTAAAATTGATTGAGATATGCGATGTTAACAGAATCTTTGTTTGATTGTGTTTTCCTCCGCTCCTTTTTATACCTCAGTCAATCAAGAAGGAGCCAGCTTGAATCACTTTTTATTTTTGTAATGGTTTCTGAACATTCCTCTACCTCCATGGTTCTCTACAGGGATGCATTTAGATTATGCATCATATTGAATTTTACATTGCGGGGAAAATAGGGTGGTTTTTTTTTTCTATGAGGGCAACATACAGCATATTCATGTCTCATTGTGTAATGTACCTCCCCAGCTCAAATGATGGAAAATATAGCTGGATTTATAGAATACAGCATAAAAAAGGCTCTATAACAATTGGTTCTCAAGAAACAATGCTAAGAGAGGCCAACCAAACCATATTTAACATATTAGGCAACAGAATATAGCCTGTAACTCACTAAAATGGACATTCAAACATCTAGTAAGAGAGGATACCGTGAAATAGCTTTCTCTTTTGTACCGCCCTGAGTCTTCGGAGAAAGGCGGCATATAAATTGAACTAATAATAATAATACTACGTCTCCATATCTTATCTTGGCATTTTAGTACCTTTAAGTCTTCCAAATGTCTATAGGAAGAACATATTCCTGTTCCTTATTTCCTTGTAGGTGTTATATTACTTTGGCTCAAGCACTAGGGATGAGCATGGGAGGAGCACCAGCAGGTCCTGCAGGGACTGGCAAAACAGAAACAACAAAAGATATGGGAAGGTGCCTTGGAAAATACGTGGTGGTTTTCAATTGTTCTGACCAGATGGATTTTCGAGGTCTGGGAAGAATCTTCAAAGGTCAGGATATTCTTTATTATGAAAAGTGACATTTTGTAAAAATCAGTATTGTCGCAATAATGGATGAACAGCATGTGTAAACTTTTGGATATGAATGAAAATGAGAGTATATTGATTCTAGCTGAAAATGCTGGGAAGGGAAGGACCGAAATGTCTCACAATATTTTCTTTCCAAAGTGCATGTATTCTGAACCAATGATCTAAGATATGACAAGTAGAATATGCTTATTATCAAGTGTGTCTATTGTGCTTAATTGCATCCATTTCAGATTAATCATAGCGAATCTTTTTATATGAGAGGTTCGCGCTAAGTAATAAAGCACAGGAATGGGTAAAAGCAAAGTTTTAAAAAATACAAGGCTCTATAGCCATAATGGCAAACCTATGGCAATCGTGCCACAGGTGGCACTCAGAGCCCTCTCTGCTGGCACCCCAGCCGTCACCCCAGCCCAGCTCCACCACACATGAGCGTGCGCCTCCTGCCGGCCAGTTGGTCTTCGGGTCTCTGCCATGCATGCGAGGAGGGCGGGGCGCATGTCGGGGATGTGCACGTGCATGCGCGGGGGTGCAGGGTGCATGCACGGGGGTGCAGGTTGGTACAGGACGCTTTCCAGGTCTAAAATGGGGCACAGGGTGATGCGCACACATGCACAGTGGACGTGTGGGGGACATGCACGCATGCGCAGGGGTAGGGCACATGCAGGGGGGAGCGCTTGCATTGCATTTTGGGGGTTCGGGCACACGCATGTGTATTCCAAGTGCTTTAGGCACTCAGCACCAAAAAGGTTAACCATCACTGCTCTATAGAGAAAAGGGGAAAAAATATTATCTAGTTCAGCAGCTTGCCCAGAATGACAAGTCATTTGCTTCTTTCAGGCATCTTGATTTTAATCCTTTTATCTGATAGAAGTACCAACATTTCAAGCACATTTTAAATATCATAAATTCAGCTCTAGCCTTCTCTGAACTTGCTTTAACTTTTTTAAAAATTTACAAAACACTGGGATTTGATATCTAATTATGCAAAATGAGCGCAGGGCTGACTCCTTTTAATAACAACCTTTCCTCTGATTTAAGGTCTTGCTCAGTCTGGATCCTGGGGCTGCTTTGATGAATTTAACCGCATTGATTTACCAGTGCTGTCTGTTGCTGCCCAGCAAATTGCAATTGTTTTGACCTGTAAGAAAGAGCGCAAAAAGAACTTCATTTTCACAGATGGTGATAATGTAGAAATGAATCCTGAATTTGGCCTTTTTTTGACAATGGTGAGTACTCCAGATACAGTGGTTTAGCAATATCACATATGAAGTATGGGGCAAAGTTAAGACTTTTCTAGAAGTTCCAGCTCTGACTTAAAATACAGGTAATCCTTAAGTTATGACAATTCACTTAGCAACAATTCAAAGTTATGACACCATCCCCCCAAATACTTACAAACCAGTCTCAAAGTTACAAATGTTGCAGCACCACAGCAGTTGTTCACTCCTATGACCGACTGCCAAGATGCTGCAACATACCCTCTGCCTACTCCCCAATCCGGGTTCTAACAGGCACTGGGCCTGCTATGCTAGCCCACCGGCTCCTCCCCATCCTGTCACTGTTCATTCACTTACCTTTCAAAGATCGGCAGAGCTCAGGGCCACATGGCAGAAAAGCGACCATCTTCTCAGATGCTGATGAAGCTGTTCTCGTTTGATCTTGTGTTCTTACACACCCTTCCATTTCCTTCGCAAAAGCTTTTGATGCAGAAAATGGAGCCTGAAGGGTTAGGGTTCATATAATGATATAAGTCATGAGATCCAGTTTTCAAGCTGTGGGCACACTGTCCAGAGAATGATATTTATTTTTGAAGCCATTTGAACCTTTCAAAGTTGGGTATTAGACATTCTTCAGTTGCTCTTGCAGGAGGAAATCCAGGAAAAATATATTTCTAGCTTTCTCTTTCTTTCTTGTGAGTTTTGCTCAAAATATTAAGATTTTCAAATTGTTGCCATTTTTCTAACTTCATAAATCAAGAATGATTTTGCTATTTCTCTTTCCTTCCACTTTTCCAAGCATGGTAGACTTCTTCATAGGGTTAGGTCTACAAAAAATATGTCTGAAGTACAGCATGATTATCTGAGAATGATCATTTGTATTGGAATTGGGGCTGGCAGCTATTTTAGAATTTTCATCAAGGAAGACCATATTGAATGCCAGTTACAAATAAATTTGTTAGCTTTGTATGTGAAGTAGAACCTGTAAAAGGAATTCTAAAAATTATGTCTGGAGTCTAATACAGTTAATAATGCTATGTTTAAATCAGAACCCTGGGTATGCTGGTCGTCAAGAGTTACCTGAAAACCTGAAAATCAACTTCCGCTCAGTGGCAATGATGGTTCCTGATCGCCAGATCATCATCCGTGTCAAATTGGCTAGTTGTGGCTTCATTGATAACATTGTGCTTGCAAGGAAATTCTTCACTCTGTATAAACTCTGTGAAGAACAATTGTCTAAGCAGGTAGGAGAAATTATCTTTTATGAACAATTCTGTTCTGCAAATAACCCAAACAACAAGCATGAAGTAGAATTTAAATGCTGTGGATGCCAGCAGCTATAGTGGTGAAGTTTTTAGGAATGATAATGTTACAGAATAACCTTAAGACTCACGGTCATTTTGGAGGGCAAGGAATAGCTCATCAATAGTGTATTTCTTTTTTTTAAAAAAATGGAATGTAGTAGTACACGGACACTAGCAATTTTAATGGACTAAAATAACAAAAAACTAGGTAGTAATTCCTCAAAACATTCCTTTGAGATTTAAGTTTAAATATGACTTCTTTGCAAGGTGCATCAAAGCCAAAGGGAAAAAAAGTGGGGGAAAGACAGTGTTTCCTTGAAAATATTTTTTTCAAAGAACTGCATTAATTTTAATATCATACCAAACAATATTTAATGAATGTTTTGTTAACTGAAAAAGGGCAAGAGCTATCCTGGCCTATGATTGATTATGTACATTAAATTAGTGTTGTCTCTTACTGACCGCATTGATTTTCTCCAGAAAAATCTCTCCGCAATCTGGCCTTTTCAGGTTGCCCAACATTGCATCCATCACTGCTGTAATTAACTCCAGCCACTTTACTACTGGTTGTCCTCTTTCCTTCTACTATTGGACTATGCCTTTGAACAAATATATTGTGGCCAAATAAACAAAAATTAATTATTTTTATCTGGAAAACTAATTCCTTTTTTTAAAAAAGGAACACTTTATTTTTTACTTGATACATTTTATCTTGATGCATTGATGCATTTTATCAGCCTTTTAAAAAAAGAATGATGCATGTTTTCATTCCTCCCTCTCTCTCTCTCTCTCTCTCTCTCTCTCTCTCTCTTTCTTTCTTTCTTTCTTTCTTCTTTTTAATAACATTTGCATCGGAAAGATAGAACAGATAATTTGGTTTCCCAAATATTTGATAAAACCAGTTTGGTACATGGAATGAGTTATATGTTTTCTCTCAGCTTATTATCTTGAACCAAAGTCTCCAGAGGTTCCTAGTATTTCAGTATTAAGATAGGCTATTGTGTACACTTTTAAAATCACTATTTACAAGTAACCAAGAGAGGGTAATACTAGTCACTGAGAGTAATACCAGTCTCCTGTTTATTCAACAATTCTATTTCAATCAACAGTCTTTATTTTAACAGTGTTACAAATGCATACTATATATCTCCACATTTGTTCTACTTATTACTATTACTAGTTGTGGAAAATATATTTTGTTCTACTGCACATTTATATTAGGTCACATTATGGGCAAGATAATTTACTGTTATTACTGGGAACTTTGAGCTGATTACAGTTCATTTTATCATTTTCAGTAGCAGGTCTTCAACTAAGTAATGTCCTTATTTCTAAGCCAGTAGGTGTTGGAACCCAGAATGTCTGTTTGCACCCTTGCTTTAATTTTGTTCCTTTTATATCTAGAACCTTTTGTCTTATTTGTAGGTCCATTATGACTTTGGTCTGAGAAATATATTGTCAGTACTACGGACCTTGGGTGCAGCCAAAAGATCAAACCCCAGTGACACTGAATCCACTATTGTAATGCGTGTCTTGAGAGATATGAATCTTTCTAAATTGGTAAGCCTGAATTCAGATATTTGCGCTCTCGGGTTTATTTGGATGTATTGCTTGGTTTCCATTCAAATATTGATTTGGTATGCTCTTTTGCCTTTTCTTAGGCTGGCTGCTGACCCAGCTATCTATATATCAAATTAGGTGTCAGAAATATGTGAGCAAAACTAGAAGCTTATTTGGACCATTAGAGTGACAAGGGGAGAATAAGCAAGTATATTGAACCACAGATTTTTAAGCCTAGATCCCAAACTAAGTAGAGATGATGATTTATTAAATTTGTAAGCTGACCAATTCCCAGAGACTGGATGGATTAGAGAAAGGTAGAAGTGTAGCCAAAGAGGAAAATGGGAGTCTTGGGTTGTCTCTTGTGATTGGGGAAAGAAATGGTAATGAAGGTACGAAAATAGAAACCTCAATAACCAAAGTACATTACACACACGCATTTGTTTGTTTGTTTGTTTGTTTGTCAATTAATAAACAAACAAACAAACAAATAAATGTGTGTGTGTAATGTACTTTGGTTATCCACACAGCATTATAAGCACACAGAATTACAAACCTGAATTCTTTTTTAGGATTATCATGGGCCAGATGAATATGATACTTGTTTTTGAAATTACTGGCCAGACAATTTCAGGTGGTGAGTTGCTTCTGGCCATGAGCTGCCAACCCCTGAATTAGAGCAGTGATTGTGAGCTTGATGGCTCTTGATACTCCCATTTTGGATAAACAATATAAAATCTGTAATATGGAGCATTAAACACTAATTTTGATAATGATGAATAAACATAACTTATAAGGTCCCAGAGTGTAGAGAAGGAGCTTTCTCTTTTTACCAAACTCCAGAGTAATAGGGATAACCAACAAAGCCTACTTGAGTTTGTGGAGATGAAAGAAAAGTGATACAAGGAAATAGGCTTACGTTGGTTTGAAAAAGCTGTGCTTTTCAAAAGTGATGGAGGACATACCATGTTTCCCCAAAAATAAGACCCTGTCTTATATTTTTTTGAACCCTGAAATAAGTGCTTGGCCTTATTGCCATGCACTCAAAAGCCCAATTGGGCTTATTATCAGAGGATGTCTTATTTTGGGGGAAACAGGGTAGGGTTTGAGGAATCCACACCCAGAACCTTGACACTAAGGAAAAGGCTTTCATTATTAAATAACCCAACTATGGTATGCTCCATAGTTGGGTTCATTAAGATTCATTCCTGCATGCTCTGTCTCTGTCTCTGTCAATGGAATGGAATATACCTTGGGGAAGGAGATACTGCCTAAGAAACAACAGACAAGAGAGGCAGGAGCCCCCAGTGGCTTAACAGTCAGAATTAGAATAGAAAATAGAATTACTTCATCTTGTCTTGTTTGCCTGGGAGGGCTGACAGTCATGTATGTTCATCCAAGATATTTCTAGTTTGCAAATCTATTTTCCTGCTGTATTTCACCATCGTTTTAATAGCCTGCCAAATCTATTGGCTTTGTGCTTATTTTTGTGCAAAAACAATACTGTGTACTGAACTTCCAAATGGGTGACGGAATGAATGAACAATTTTTCATATTTTGAGGGTTGAATGGAGAAATCAGTTAGAATATTATAGGCTACAAATGTTCTTTTCAAGACAATTCCTTTGTCATTGTGCTGGGAATGTAACATACAGCAGATTATTGCCTATCTTCTGTTGCTCCAAATGCTGATTTAAATCCTTGTTTTGATGGAGAGCTAGCATTTTCTCTGGTTCCCTGGTTTTGTTGAAGTTCCTTTTTTTGGCATTATTTAGTGTTTTCTTACCCTAACTTTCTATAAACCACCTTGTCTGTCAGGTGTTATTTTTCCTTCCTTTCCTTCCAAATAGTTTCTGAAACATAATTTTTCACACACAGCATACCTGCCTCACTGAAAGATGATAGGTCTGCACCAATTACCTTTCATTTTGCACTCTTTCTGAAAACAGTTTTTCAGATGTTACAATTTTTTCACCAATTTCTGGGCCCTTGTAAATTCTTATCATTTTCAGTCTGTTCTTTTTAATGATTCCTACCTTGATAAGGTTTCAGTTTTATTTGCTCTGTCCTTTTTCTGACCCAGATGTGTAAAATGCGCATTATTCTTACTAATAATGCAGTAGAAATATATTTAGATTAGTGAAATGTGGTTTTTCTGTATTAATATAAAATTGTGAATTCGGTACTAGGTACTTGCATTAAGTACAGAGGTAGGTTTCATCAGGTTCTGACGAGTTCTGGAAAACCGGTAGAGGAAATTTTGAATAGTTCAGAGAACCGGTCACCTCTGACTGGCCCTGCCCCCATCTATTCTCTGCCTCCCGAGTCCCAGGTGATCGGGAGGGAATGGAGATTTTGCAGTAACCTTCCCCTAGAGTGGGGTGGAAATGGAGAGTTTACAGTATCCTTCCCCTGCCATGCCCAACAAGCCACGCCCACCAAGCCACACCCACAGAACCATTGAAACCCATCACTGATTAAGTATTACATGACAGAAAGCACTAATTTTCCTATTACTTTTTATTGCCAGATAGATGAAGATGAACCCTTATTTTTGAGTTTGATAGAAGATCTTTTCCCAAGTATACAACTTGACAAGGCAGGTTATCCAGAGTTAGAAGCTGCCATCAGCAAACAGGTACCGTTTATAAACATTTATATTCTGGTATTTTTTTGCAATAAAAATATTGGTAAATTTTCCCCCCTTAACATAATATATTCTTAGCTACCTATCTTGTTTTGTGATGAAGACACGATTTGTAATTAAAGGCACAGTTCTACCTTGATTTCCATGAGCTAAGAGACAATTCAGTTTGGCAGAAATTCATAGGATAGCAGATATGTGCTAGTAGAACTGACTAGATATAAAAATGTCCTCGCAGGAATATCTAAAATGAATTGGCTGTAGACAGCACAGGAAAGGAACCTTCTTTTACTATATGTTAAAATGAGGTCAAGTAATAGTAAAAGGTGCAACTTTACACCCAAGATTTTTTTTCTCTACTGGCATAAATGGAGACATGTTTTATTATTAACTGGTCAACGTATTAGTCCTATTGAACAAATTACATCACTTCAGCCCCAATGCCAACATATTCACCTAAACCTGTTCTCTCTGCATACCTCCTTAGGCAGACATGTTCAAAGGGAAGATTTGGAAGGAATTTCTATTCCTGTGAACAGGAGCTTCTTCATATTCTGATAAAGCAGTGTATCTCAACCTTGGCCAATCGAAGGTGAGTGGACTTCAACTCCCAGGATTCTCTACAATGGCTTGCACTGGCTGTGGAATTCTGGGAGTTGATGTCACAATGCCTGGAAATTGCCAAGTTGAGAAATCCTGTAATAAAGCACAGGTAAAGTCCAGGCAGGGATTCTATATAAATAAAGTAATTAGTGCTGTAATTTTTGACAGGTTGAAGAGGCTGGCTTAATTAATCACCCACCTTGGAGACTGAAAATTATCCAGCTTTTTGAAACTCAACGAGTGAGACATGGCATGATGGCTCTAGGTCCTAGTGGAGCAGGAAAAACAACATGCATCCACACACTGATGAAATCCATGACAGGTCTGGAAAACTGACCCGGGGATAAGTAAAAAAATCTGCTATGCATTTTGATAAAATAAATTAGTAGTCAGAGGAAGCTTTTTAAGGACTACATAGTAAAAAAAATAGTATAGTTTTGCCCAAATGGTTATGTGATTATTTCTGAAAATATTAGCATTCTTTGTTTTTAGCCATTGTGATGTTCTTGAAATTGTTTGAGAAACCAGTTATACAGGCAACAGCAGAGTTTAAGTAGATCACTATTTCTAAGAAGTATAAACAGAGAATATATGTGTTGCTTGTTCACACATCACAATAAACTGCACCTTACGAAACACATTTTTTCTATTTTTCTACAGCTTGTTTTAGATACACCACATTTTTCAATGACTTCTGTCTCCGAGGCCCTTGTAATGCTAGAATATTGCCACAAAACTAAATTGTCTAAATTATTGTTATGGGCCACAGGCAGTGAGCGTAGTTAGGATCACAGAATTCTTTGTCTGATCCCTGCCAATATTCTAACGAAAATATTTTTTAAAAGTCTGCAGAGGAAAAAGCTATACAACTTACTGCTGAGTAGTAGCGTGAGGTAAGGCTGACCATGAAGTGAGTTTCATTGCAAAGCTGTTTCATTAGCACAATGCCACAGAGGATAGAAAATTAGCAAGCATGGCTGTCTTCCACGAGTGGCTTTGCTATCTGTATTCTTGGTCTACTCAAATAAGCTGCATTTAAACAGGGTTCATATGTTTTGGTCATCCAGAGGTAGTTTCCAAAATCACTTGCACTTATTTTATATGCATTGAATTGCTAATTGACAGTTATAAAGACAGGATTAAAGAAAATTATTTGAGTAATAATTCCAAAGTTTTTTTTTTAAATGTAAAAGTACGATCAAGGCATAGGAATATACAAAATGCAACACCCAAAGATAGTGTTATTTTCTCCAAGGATGCTTTTAGCCAACCATCCTGGGGATGATTCGTAATTTTCTGGAAGTAAATCTGAACAGTAAGTGGTTCATGGTGCACAGGAAATCTGATGCTGAAAGAGGAATATTATGAGTAATACTGGGTTTTGCACACCCTGAGTTCAGCAGTCAGCTGAGATTTCAAAGTGAGAAACACTTAATGAAAATTTGATGGCAAAAAGAAAGGCCATTTGACTGTTTAGGCTGTTAAAGCAAAGGAAGATTTCTTTTTTCTTTTTTCTCTTCCCTGAACCATCATGTATCAGAATAGACATGCTTTTTATTTAATACTATTTTAGCAACAGTTTAAATCCTTTCCTCTTCAATTATTTGTTGAAACAGTCCGCCCCCCACCCCCGTCTTCTAGCCCTCTCCTTCCTCTCTTAAAACTTACCAGCCATGGAGAGAAGTAGACCACTGATGTTAGAAAGCTTTGTATCTCCCCAGAGGTTGTAGTGACTTTATTGCTGACATCACAGTGCCAAGGGTTCAGCTAACAGTTTTGTGTGCTAGCTGAGCATCTGACTTCGAAGTCTGGAATCCTGTGCTACCTAAGTGAGATAATAGATTTTAAGGTATTTATTTGTAGAAGGGTTATGCAGTGTTTCAGATCAAAAGGGGTAAGGATACTTGGGAGCACGTGCAGCACCTTTTGCTAACTTCTTAAACCAAATGTGTCTTTTCCTGAAATTGCATTGTAGCTTCAGGGAACTACCATCCAACCCCAGGAAATGACAAAACTGCTTTAATCAGTTGCCAACAGTTGCAGCAAGAATGGCCCACATGCTTCAAACATATTATTTCCTTCCAATCCAAAGAGCTAGCCAGTGTTAATTGGTAATAACTACCACCTAATGGGTCTTTGCTGTACAAAATCTGTAAATGTTAGATCTAAAGATATTTTTAAAAAACCAATTTAATTGCAGTGAAATTTGTTAGAGGTAACATTATGGTGAGGAGGAGACAGCAAGTCTCCCTGCTTAAAATGAACAAAGAAGAGATTAACTGTGGTGAATGCCTACATGTGTACAATGCCTGAAGCAGTTTAATGCTTCTTTTAATAATGTTCAATACAAAAATGTATATGTTCATAAAAGGCATGCAAATGTGTGTAAATGTATATGCTTATTTAACATGCTTTGTTAACTTCAAGTTGCAAGTGCAAAACACAAATCATTCCTTATGTTGATCGCCCAATACAATTCTTGTACTTAAAGAACAAAGCTAAAACAAGTTTATCTTAGATATTATTGGACTAAAATTCCCATAATGCATGACATTTATATTGATGAAAGCAAATGTAAATTGTAAACTAATATCACCTGGAAATCTAAGATTGAAGAAAAAAATTCAGCAAGTAGCAAGTTAAAACTTAGAGGATTCCTTTATTTTCAGTTTGAATTTCCCCCTTAATATGGCTGAAAATAAATGAACAATATTCAGTTAAGAGAAGGCTGCAATATACCATGAATAACTTTAACATTGCAACCGCACAGAATGTTTTTACACTATCAAATTCAAAGACTAAAATCCACCAATTGATATAATGCTATACTACTGTAGCAATGATTTCAAATGGATCTTCCCTTTGGCATGTACAGATTGTGGCCAACCCCACCGTGAAATGAGAATGAATCCAAAGGCCATCACTGCACCTCAGATGTTTGGACGCCTTGATGTTGCAACCAATGACTGGACAGATGGGATATTCTCCACCCTTTGGAGGAAAACTTTGAGAGCCAAGAAGGGTACTATATTATAATTGCTAGAGTTATATTTGATTATTCCTTTCACAGGAAAAAATCCAGTTATTCTCCTCATTCCTCTCATTTGTTATAATATTAATAGAGCCATCTAGTCTGAAAGTTAAGGAGGCTCATGGGAGCATATTATGGAGGAGAAATTGCAAAAGCAGACAGGGTTGAGTTTGGAGCAAAGGTTACCATCTTCGGCTCCCTTGATGTCACTATAAATATAATCATCTCATATAATTGGTAATGGCTGAGAATACTGAAAATTGTACTTCAAAGCTATCAACAGACCACATAGTTGGGTTATTGCGAGGAGAATGACCTGCTGATCTGGAAAGTACACCTCTATTCTAGTTGGTTGCTGTATTTATCTGATTATTACAATAATTTGTAATATCTTGTGTTAGATACCTGAATTGCCAATAAATGTGCAGATGAAAAATAGAATTCTTAAATTCATGGATAACCCTTAAGTTTTTGTAGCAAGGCTAGGCAACATTTTCAGCCCCATAGGCTACAAGCAACCTTGTAATGGAATGGAATAGAATAGAATAGAATAGAATCTGGAAGGGACCTTGGAGGTCTTCTAGTCGTACTTAAGCAGGAGATCCTATGCCATTTCAGATAAGTGGCTGTCCAGTCTCTTCTTAAAAACCTCCAGTGATAAAGCATCCACAACTTCTGAAGGCAAGCTGTTCCAGAGGTGAAATCCAGCAAGTTCTGACAGGTTCTGGAGAACCGGTAGCGGAAATTTTGAGTGGTTCGGAGAACCGCCAAATACCACCTCTGGCTGGCCCCAGAATGGGGTGGGAATGGAGATTTTGCAATATCTTTCCCTTTCCCCTTCCACGCCCAATACACCACGCCCACCAAGCCACGCCCACAGAACCGGTAGTAAAAAAAATTGGATTTCAACACTGAGCTGTTCTACTGGTTAATTATCCTTACTTTTAGGAAGTCTCTCCTTAATTCCAGATTCTTCTCTCCTTGATTAGTTTCCATCCATTGTTTCTTGTCTTGCCTTCTGGTGCTTTGGAAAATAAGTTGCCCCCCTCTTCTTTTTGGCAGCCCCTCAAATACTGGAATACTGCTGTCATGTCACCCCTAGTCATTTCTTTTAGTCTTAGTTTTAGTCTCCAGGCCTTTAATCATCTTAGTTACTCTTCTCTGCATTTCACACCCCCCCCCCCACCCCAAGTTTAAACATCATATTTTATTAGCATCCTTAGCCTGCTCACTATGTATGGATACTTTTTGTCCTCTCAGACTAGGAAAGAGAGTTCAAAAGAAGCAGTTATCAAAATTGCTGAATGGCAGCTTTGACAGATGAGGAAAGAGAATAGGAGGATGACTTTTTATTGCTTAGGTGTCACCTGTCAAGGGCTTTACATGTAAAATAAAAATGTCAAGTATCTTGTAAGTAATGTTTCCCCAGCATATTACTTGCTTTGAGAAATCTTTTACTACTAAATAGAATCTATTACTGTTAAATAGAATACTCCTTTTGTGCTTTTCAGAATTGCTAGAGAGAGCCAAAGAAAGAAATGATTTAAATGAGGCTTTTCTGCATTTCACTTCTCCAAATTTAAGTAGGAACTTGTTTAAGATCATCCATTGATCTTTAGAGCTACTTGAGAAGTTGACTATAAATATCACACAGCACATTAATCTATGTTGTTTCTGTTTTTTATTCATATTCATACCTATTCTATGATGAGGAAAATGATTGTATCACAAAATGCTCTCTTACAAGAAATGTTTTCCCTCTTTGGGTATAGGGGAACACATCTGGATAGTACTTGATGGTCCTGTTGATGCCATTTGGATTGAAAATCTGAACTCAGTGCTTGATGATAACAAAACATTGACCCTGGCGAATGGAGATCGGATCCCTATGGCACCAAATTGTAAAATTGTTTTTGAGCCTCATAATATTGACAATGCTTCTCCTGCAACAGTGTCAAGGAATGGCATGGTATTTATGAGCTCA